TTGTTTTAGCTATAGAATCCCTTCCATCTCAATTCCCCCGCTCCCTAGCCCTCAGCAACTGAAGCGGTCAAAAATGGCTTCGGTCAGGTCAGCTTCAGGGTTGACATCAATGAATAAGAGAAGAGACATCTAGCGTGCCCCTGGCCCTCAACGAGGGATGAACAGAGCTGCTTTTAAAGCCTACTTCATGGTGGGTAAGAGTTGCAAAGCAACAGTCCTTCTCCATCCTTATTCCCCCCCCCCCCCCTGCAAACACCCGTCCCATAGCCTTGTTTCAGACGACATGGGCCCTCTTGCTACAACGGCTCAGAAATCCTCCTGAAAGGCTCTGCAGAAGAATTTGCTCAGCATCTATCAGATTTTTTTTTCTCAAAATCATTCTCAGTTGGATGCCAGCCTTGCTGTAGGTCTTAGGGCAGCGATGGCTAACCTTTTCGGCACCGAGTGCCCAAAGCACACGCAAACCCCCCAAATGCAATGCATGCACATCCCCCGCATGCCCTCCGCCCCCGTGCATGCACGGCAGAGAACCGAAAATCAGCTGGTTGGCAGGAGGTCCGCACGCATGAGTGACAGAGCTGAGCTGGGGCAACAGCTCGCTTTCCCACGGAGAGGGCTCTATGTGCCACCTCTGGCACGTATGCCGTAGGTTTGCCCTCACAGTCTTCGGGAGATGCCCTGCACAGATTCTTACCCTGTTATACGGGATCAGTTTGAACGCGCTGGAGCAGAGGAAATGGACCTTAGGACTGTGAGCTCAGCCACCTGCTTTTTAGATCCATGACTCACCTGAGCTAACAAAACGTTTCCCCGGGAAACGTCATGCGAATTCACCTTCTGGCAGTGGCGAATTCCTCCTTGAGTGTAGAGGAATTGCTCTTCCACTCCTTCAGGGAAAGTTGGCCCACCCACAATTTCAATGTTGTATAATGTTAGGTGACTTTTACCTACAAACTGATGCTCTATAGCCCAAGCAAATGTAGTTTAATGACATAATGATGGCAACATAAGCTAAATCCGAAGATTTGCAGGCTCAGCACAAGAGCCAGGTAGAAATCCAGAATGTTTGGTTTGGTTAAGTTGTTCAGTTGTTCAGTTAACTAACTCCTAGGGCAGCGCACAAATTCCGTGCAGTTGCAAGTAGATGCCAGAGCCCTTTTATCTCTGGTTTGGCTTCTCTCAAAGATGCACATCTTGGACCTTCGCCCTGGAGGGCCCGGGGACACCACAAAGAGAAGTTAGCCCTCACGGCACCTCTATGCCAGCCAGGAAAGACTTCCGTAGCTGCATAAGAAAAGAGATGGAAAGCATGAGATTTAGAGATCCAAAGGGGATCTTGTACAGCTTCGCCACAATTGTCATCAGTTCTGAAAGCCACTTGCTCTCCAAGACATGTGCGAAAGCTGTTTTGCCAAGGCCAATCTGTATTAAAATACATTATTAATCTACATTACCAGGCACTTTGGCACATCCGCTCTTGGCCATCAGAAATGCCAATGGCAGTGGGGATCTCAAAAGCACCCACCACCACAACAACCACAGCTGGGTTGTGTCACCATGGTAAGACCTCCACATCTTGTGTAAGGTAAAGGTTCCCCTTGCACATACATGCTAGTCATTTTTTCCAGCTCCCGGGAGCGGTGTTCATCTCTGTTACAAAGCCAAAGAGCCAACGCTGTCTGAAGACGTTTCCGTGTTCATGTGGCTGGCATGACTAAACGCCAAGGGTGCACGGGACGCTGTTCCCTTCCTACCAAAGTGGTTCCTATTTTTCTACTTGCATTTTTTGCATGCTTTCAAACTGCTAGGTTGGAAGAAGCTGGGACAAGGAACGGGAACTCACTCCATTATGCGGCGCTAGGGATTCGAACCGCCGAACTGCCGACCTTTCTAATCGACAAACTCAGCATCTTAGCCACTGAGGCACCGTGTCCCTTGTGTACATGCATGCAATGTCACGGCTCATGTACAAAAGACAGGGGGCAGTGCAACTGCAATGTCACAATGCTGCTTTTACCATTTGACACGCAGACACCCCTGGCACATCTCGATGGATGCTTTGGACCAATGGTGATGTCATTTTGGGCAAGGGCCAACAGGTAGAAGAGCCAGCTCTTTCTCCAGACTATCACAAGATGATAATGCAGCCTCATAATGAGGCTTCAAGAGCTAGGAGTACTTTTCAGGCCCTGGCTCCGAATGGAAAAATGAAATCCCTTGTAAATATTTCAGCATGCATTAGTCTCACTCATTTTCGGCTATCAAGTCTGACCTTCAAATGAAAGCTTGAATGTAATCATGGTACATTGTACTCAACAGAGAATTCTAATTATGGGTTTGTTTGTTTTTTCAAATAAAACATCACAAAATTAGACCCTGATGCAGTTTCATCTATTTGGTTCATTCTCAGCCCAAATATAGCCAATTCTATGTATCTGCCTCTGAAGGCCATTAGGAACTTCTCTCGAATTAGGAACTGATGTATCTATGCCTATCCAGCAATTTAATCAGACAGAAGGCTTAATTCCAAAGAGAAAACAGTTAGCAATGATTCTTTTCAACAAAAAGTTAGCATTAGGTGTTATCAATGATAGCAACTGAATCATCATGAAAGTGATTAATAATGCACCCTCAAAATCTCAGAGGTGGAATACATTATAATCAGAAATGATGCATGAAATTAATTACAGGTGCCATTAAATTCCAGGCATGAAATGAAATCCGAGTCATGCCAAGGACAAAGGTAGGGAAAAAGAATGGATAAAAGATTACAACTGTCTCCTCCATAGAAGAAGTTGATGCTTTAAAGAGAGAATGCCCAACAGAGGATGGACAGAAAAATGAAAGGTTAAAGTTATGGCCTAAAAACACTCAATAACAATGGAACTAATCACAGGCCCATTATAAAAGAGACCCTGGACTCATAAATCCTAAGGAGATGTTACTACACCTGAACCCAAGAAGTGGACTTTGATTTTATCTAGTCCAGGGGTTGCCAATCTTTTGGACCTCAGGGACCACCAAACTCATAATTTTAAATCCCGCAGACCAGAGACCCTGGAAAGTCCCCCAAAAAGTCTGCAGGAAAATTCCCCACCCCGTTTTCCTACTGATTGATCATTCTTTATTTGGAATCACAAGATACCATCTTCAGTTCTGTTCTCAGGGGAAGAGAGAGACTTTTGGCTTCATGCAAGGAAAGCAGCAGAAGTCTTTCTTTCCCCGAACTCTGCTAGAAATAAGTCTTTATGAGACTTGTCATGCTGGTGCAGCCTCTTGGAGCAGGAGGTCTTGCAGGGTCCCAAAGACTCATTTCTGGCGGAGTTTGGGGGAGAGAAAGAAATACTTTTGCTGCTTTCCTTGCATGCAGCCAAAAGCAGAAGAAGAAAGAAGCAGCCCAGTGGCCAGGTGAGGCACGTGGGGCGAGTGGAGCAAGTTCCCCCCTCCGTCCTTTCCCCCCCTTCCATCACTACCTCGTGTTGTTCGCAATGCAAGCAATACAAGCCTTGTGTTCCCATCGGCCATGTGGGCGGCACAGCCTTGTATTCCCGTGCAGCCTGGATTAATTGCTTTGGGGGGGTGCTTTGGTGGTGACATTTCTCTGCGGACCACCAAAATTTTCTTGCGGACCACCAGTGGTCCCCGGCCCACAGGTTGGTGACCACTGGTCTAGAACACGGGTGTCAAACTCGATCAGGTCACCCGATGTATCATGACATTTTTCGCCTTTGCAGAGCAAGGGTGGGCGTGGTCCACACGTGATGCAACCGGTCCGCGGACCGCCAGTTTGACAGGCCTGATCTAGAATATTCCACAAAATATTACCCAACAGGTTCTTGTTTTTCCACCTGCGCTCCTTTCTCTGCCATCCCTCACCAGGAAGAGGTAGGGTGCAGCCTTTTTGAAAACTTAAAAGCAGAAAACACTCTCCTGCACATACAAGGTTTTGACAACTGCTATAGACCTGTCTTTCTCACCCATGCCAGCCAACTTTGGCTTGGTGGCTGGGGCATTCTGAGTGGGATGCTGACTCCAGAGCCTCTGGAATCTGGTAGCAGCAAGGTAGAGGAACAAGGGGAGCCTGTTCCCAGTGTGCATGTGTGCAACAGAGCTGCTAGAAGGCAAGAGCAGGTGAGACAAAAGGTGTGACTTGGGAGTACGGCTTGGAGGTGATTGCCCCTCCCATAAGGTATAAAGGACAGGCAAAGGTGAAGAAACCTTTGCAGGAAGCAAAGTCGTTCACTCTGTTCGGATTAAACCTTGAAGCTCTGTGTGGATTTTGTACTTCAGTTGGTTTTTTACAGTTAATTTGGCCCTTTAGTTGTTGGCAGCAATTCAAAGGAGAGAAAGGTGGGTGCTTATCTCGAGGGACTGTTTGGGACTCATTACGGGCTGGGAATGAAGATAATTCCCAGCATTGAAATAAAACAAGAGTTGTTTGGACTAAGCGTGTGCTTAATTATGGTCTCAGGAAGCCTTGGTCAGAACATTTTGGGAGTTTGAAGTCCGCACATCCTTACATTGAGAAAGTTGAAAAACACGGCTCTACTAGACAAGTTCTTTCCCTGCAGCTTGGCTACCAGATCCCTCTCCTTGGTCCTGAACCTATGACAGGTTTCACATGTGCACCTCCCACTCTTGCCCTGAAATCTGAAGCAGGATCCCCGCCATGCTCTCTCCTCTGCTCTTGCCTGAGGAACCATAGGTTGGAGTAGTGGAAGCTTGACTGGATTCAGACAGAGCGACAACCATCTTCCGTACTCTACTCTGAATTAGCCAAGTATCTGGCAAGCGATCTAATGTTGTAAAGTGAAGAGCTTCGTTCTTAATGAGATTGTCCCTTAAAGGGTGGACATGTATTGAAAGAGACACATCTCTGGCAAATGATGTCCCTCAGAAGACTGCCTTCAGTCATGCAATGTTGGTCTGGGAGCCCTAAGCGGCTTATCCTAAGCTGTAAGATTTCCTAAACTGATGGTGTAAATCTGAACTCTACTTACTTGATGAATGCTGGTGGCATGTCTCTCTTCAAAATCTGGTCTTCGGTTGTCTGAACGGTTTCTTTTCCCACCTGCAGGTGAAGAGATGCATCTTTGTCATTACCATCAATACAAGTCACACTTTGTACTCTCAAACATAGCTCTTCCAATTGCCAAGATTCAGATAGTATCGCAGAATTCTGCCAAATAAAAATGAACGGGCTAGCGGTAGAACACAACTGCTGTCTTACTAGTATTATTAAACGAGTTTCTCTTAATTTCTTCCTTCCTTTTCTCTTTCTTTCTCTCTCTCTTTTTCTTTCTTTCTTTCTCTCTCTCTCTCTTTCACTTTCTTTCTTCCTTTCCTTTCCTTCCGTCCTTTTCTTTTTCTTTCTTTCTTTTTCTCTTTTTTCTCTCTTTCTTTCTCTCTCTCTCTTTTTTCTTCTTTCCTTTCCTTTCCTTTTCTTTCTCTCTCTCTCTCTCTCTCTCTCTCTCTCTTTCTTTCTTTCTTTCTTTCTTTCTTTCTCTCTTTCTCCCTTCCTTCCTTTGACTATCTGTAGCCATCCAACTCCATCAAGTGACTCTGGGCAGCTTTCAATTCTATTTTTTTAAAAATAAATGTTATTAAGTTTCCAAATTTTAAAAACATAAAATAAAATTCTAAATTCAATTCTAAAATTGTCAAACCATTAAAGAAATATAAAAAATAGATTAAAACAATAAAAATGCCCACAAAAATAAATAAGGACAAACAGCAGCCATCATGATTAATCAACTACCACTTTTTTATTTGGGCAAACAAACCAACATAGTTCAAAACAGTCTTTGAATCACCCTCATTCAATCCAAAAGCAGGAATATGGGGAAACTATTAGAGGAAGTCCTGTAAACAACCTTAAACAACCTGTGAACAGTTTAACAACTGTTCAAAGTTACACCTGACCCTTAAAAAAGTTACTCATGACTGATCTTGCATCGTGTGTGATTTGTAACCAGCTCACATTTACAATCTGTTGCAGGGTTCTGGGGTCACATGGACATGATTTGAGATGTTTGTTTTTTTTAGCCAATTTACAACAATTTTTTGGCCAGAAAAATGCCCATTAGGGAGAATGGATTTGCTTAATGACTTGATAATCATGATGACTTGTTTTATGATCATGATAAAACTGGTCATAAAATTGAGTCCAGTCACATGATTTATGATCACAATGACTTATGATGGAAATTCCAGAGTCCATTGTGGTCATATGTTCAGGACCACTTGTAAAGTACAATATTACTTGTAGGTTACTACTTGTAACCTACAATGCTTGGTTAAGGAAGATAATGCACAAAGGGCTATATTATATAACACATGTTCCTAATAGCTTCTATATGTATATGTAATGAGAAACCACAATGTCTTCTCATCCCATCGATCAACAATTTTACAGATACAAAATAAATATGGAAACTGCAACTACAGTAAACCATCTCCTGAATAAATTTATTCTCCAAGTTGCAATTACGAGCCACATCTAAATGTTAGAACAGAGAATGACTGACCTTCTGCCTCAAGTAATGCAATTAGCAATTTCTATCTCAAGAGACAAGCTCTCAGATATGGACTGTATCCAAGTACATCACAAAATCGAAACCAGACCATCACCTATAATCCACTAGATTTTATATGATTAGATTCTGTATAATTGAATGATTGTCCGCATAAAGTACTGTAAACTATGGATTATTTTAAATTACTGCTTCCTAGCAACTTCAACTTTCGTGGTTGTATGCTTTCTTATATATTTGAGGCATTCCAAATGGTTACTACTAAGTCTATTTCCCTTACTGCTGAATTTCAGAAGTTACAGTTAAAAGGAAAGCTGCTACTCAGGGGTGGGCTGCTGGGGGCTCTTATCTAGCTAAGACTCTGCAAAGCTCAGAGAGCCCCCAATAACCTCAGAAAGCAGCAAGGGAAAGCTCTTAATAGGCTTAATTGAATTTCTGGGCATTCAGCCAAGAGCATTCCACATCTCGTAAAAGTGTTGCAAGCTAGATAAACAATCCACTCAGCGCTTGAGGAGAGAGAGTCATCGAGTACATCAGATAATATAGCCACTAGCCTCTGAGGGGATTAATTCCCAAATAATCAGAATCATGTAACTCACCAGTAACTCCATTAAGACTCCCAAGATCCCTCTCACAGTCACTGCTATTAACCCTGGTTTCACCTAGTCTTTTATTTAAGTATTAAAGGCACAAAATGATTTGTTTATTTATTCTATTCATTCGTTCCATTTTCTATGGCTGCCCAACTCAACCAAGTGTAACTCTGGGTAGCTTACGGTTCTAAAATTACACAACAATTAAAAAAAGCACACACACAATACAACAGTAAGAACATCCAGAAAATGGATGATGAACATGCAAAGCACGTCTCAGCTTTGCCAGCTGCATTCAGATTAATTCCCCAGTTCAAAATCAGTGAACCCCGTTCTGTTCAATTTGGAGCCCTGATTTAACAATAGCCCGATGGGTCAGATGGACAGAATGTTCTGCTTTCTGTTAGCAAATTCATCCTCAGATATCTCTAGAAAAGGGAGGGGGAGCAAATTCTGCTCTACTGCTATTGGAAGGCACCTGAAATAGATACTGGCATTTTGAATGGCATATACACACATTTTGTAGGACCGTAGTAGAACTTGATGCAGTATATTTTTGCACTTCCCCCTTTTTTTTTTCGTTCTGGTCTTTTGCTAAAAGTACACTGTGTGCAAGGATCACATTAGTAGGCAATCTGCTTTTGAGCCCATTGTCATCATTTATGTTAATGGTTTCCATCTTCCCGCAAGAGCAACTACGGTTTAAAAAAAAAAAAAAAAACCACCTGCAGAATCTGCTCGTGCCTCAAAAATCAAAAAAATTGCCAAAAGAAATAAGTTTTAGAATGGAAATCAAGGGGGAGTTTGAAGATGTCAAGACAGCTTGAGGCTGCTGCTACCTCTACCAAAGGGCAATTTCTAGTCTCATTTAAGAGGCTAGATTTAATTTAATTTGTACAACAAGGGCTGTTTGATGAATGGGGTATGTGGTTGTTAAGGGGGGGAGATCCGTTTCAAGTCCCAAGTAGGTTGAGATGCTTTGGGGAAACAACCCAAAGAAATGAACTTAAGTCAGCCTTTGACCAGCAAAGAATGAGCTTTTGACTCTCAAATTTATATTCTGTTTCCGGAAATAGATGGGACATCTGGCTCTGTGGTACCAGAATAGCTGTCTTGAATAGATTGGGCTCCACCAAAGGAAAGGCTGAATAAGCCCTGTTAACTTTCTACTAACAAGGATGAAAGTGCCAGAACAAAACTGCAGACAGCTTTTTTACTTGTAAATGAAAAAAAAAAACCTTCCAAAACAATCCTGAGAAGAAACATCCCTTGAGCTGTTATCCAAACTTTTGAAAAACACTTGCATTTTTTACGAATTGTTTGTGGTTATAAAAACTTGAAAGAAAATCATTTTGCGTTTTACAAGATACTCAGAAAATCATCCCTGAAGAATGCTGAAATCCAATCCTTACTTTTCTTAACAGATGATATTGCATGAGCTGAGTATGTGATTGATGGGATGGGAGAGAAGGAAGGAAGGAAGGAAAGAGGGAGGGAGAGAGAGAGGGAGGAAGGAAGGAAGGAAAGAAAGAGGTAGGGAGGAAAGGGAGGGAGGAAGGAAAGTGGTCAGGAGGCAGGGAAGGATGGAAAGAGAGGGAGGGAGGGAAGGAGGGAGGAAGGAAGGAAGGAA